CTGATTACTTGAGTTAAACTACAATTTAGATACTGAGTTGAAGTCTGCAGTCTGAAAAGCTTCTCAGATTCAATTCGTCTTCACAGCAAAATGAGTTAATGGGTCACAGGCTGCAGAAGGACCTCTCATTAGTTACTGGAGTGACTCGTGGCCATTCTGTCATTGATTTAAACCCAAAGTGGGCAGGGACCCAAACTTGTCACCATGAGATACTCATTCACTATTTAAAATATTTGGATGGTGACTTTTCTTCCTGTGGACAGATGTTCCTGTCAAAAAAGAAAAAAATACACTCCCAAATTTTTTGTCAGTTGACCTTGTTGTTTGAGATAATGGCTTATATTTGTCCTAACAAAACTAACAATTAGAGAAAAATGTAATGTTCTTCTCTAGTTCCTGGCAAAGGTGGACAGAGGAGGAAGACAAAAATCAACTCCTCTTATCTTAAAATTTTCATTATGAATGCCGTATGTACTCTTTCTGTGTAATACTAAAGCAATACTACGGAATACAAAAATCAATCTAATTATTATTAATCTTGTGTTTCAGAGTTTTAAACAATGACTCAGTGATAGACTCAGACACAAATATCACATAAATCACTTAAATCCTTTCAATGGTCAGATAAATAACCAGAAGCAGGTTGGTCTCATTTTATGGATGAACACAGCTACCAGAAGTATAACAGAGCAGCTTTAATGGGTGGTCAGGGAGTCACAGGCAGAAAAAAGATTATGATACGTTTTGATACAGCCATAGAGACTGACTGTAAAATGCTAAGTGTATTACATTAAAATTTTCTGTCAAAACTTCACAAATAATTTTAATCTATACTGAAAAGGGTTATGTACAGAAAAGGAGAGTATGTGCCAATAGGCTCCTAGAACAGAATACCCATCTATGAAATGTATTGCCTTGCCTTTAAAACTCAACATTTGAAATGCTCTGCAAAGAAGGAGACGGGCACAATTTGCATCGGAGGGAAAAGTGGAGAGGACCATGGTAGGGTGAAGTCACAGCTGGGGCTAATTTAGGTCACCTTGTCCTCTTGCTGTCTCCTGTCTAACAGGAAGATAAAATGACGGATGCTTGTACTTAGATTATCATTAAAATACTTTTCTTGCTATTCATGAAATAACCTTCCACATGAATCAGCTATCAATCCCTATGATTTATAATGAAAGAAAAGGAACCTTTGTGAAGATTGCTTTAAATCTTTAAAATATTTTGGAAATTTAATCTTAAAAGGGATTTGCTTTTACTGTCAGTTGATGTCCAGATAGGATTAGCAATTATTTACTCTTAAATTTGGGAAAGTTGGGGTGGAGTTAAAAACAAGTCACCATTAATTTCAGAAAGTGAAGATATCACCTACAAAAATCAGAGAATACACTTCATTTCAGTGAGCACTTTCATTAACATTCATGCATGCACACAGATAAAGTGTTCTCATAAAGAAAATTCAGTGTATAAGCACTAGCAATCTCTAACCAATTCCCTCAAGTTTCATGTCAATGTATTTCAAGAATTCTTCTTATAACATAGCATCATTTAAACCATGTACTGTCCTCTAACTGTCCAATTTATATGAAAAAATCATAGAATCTGAATTTACACTGAACTAGTCTCAGCTTCTCCTTAATCCCACGTGCCAAGAAGTTTATCTACATATAAAATACAATTATTTGTCCCTGTTCTACTCATGACTTAAAATAATTTCAAAATGCTACAGTTCTGCATTCAAATTAAATTTATCATCTAATCTCAATAAGACAAAGCAAGGAGTAAAGAATAAGAGAAGCTACAACAAACACAAATTCAGAAGGTTTTTCATTAGTTCACAAAGATTGCGAATTGTAAAGGTAGAATAATTTGAGTTGCTTGGGTATCTTTAAAAATGTGTTTTGAAGGTAACCCATAAAATTTTATACCTCAAAGGTAATGTTAAACAGCAGCATATTTAATCAAAATATACTCATCCACATGACATTGATGATTTTGTTTAAAATTGCTTTTGATTTTGCACATTTGAAGTACTCTCCTGGGGAACTGAAATAGTGACATATACAAGTATTAATAGATGTAGCAGTCTCGAAACTGAATTCACCCTATATACGTATACATACATGCACTCTCTTTTAACACCCACTAGCAATCACCACAAGTTGTTGGTCAAATTAAAACTTAATGTGACTAAATCACAAAACTCATTTTTGCTAATTCTGTACAAACGACCTGAATACCATCCCACTCAGCATTCTGTGTCAGCATCCCTCCTGACCAAAACTGGATCTTTGAAAGTGAACCTAAAAGTGAGAACTGTAATACCTCTAGAAAACAGAGCTTTTTCTTTTTAGACCCTCTAGATCTTAAAATTTAAGGGCACATTTTTAGTAGTAATTTACAAACTGCCCACCTTCCCTACGGAACAAGTAGAGGCCCCATATATAAAAATGTTTCTTCTCATACGAAATCAAGCTACAGTGAATGAAGAAAATTTGGGGCCCATTTAGTCTCATTTTCACTTTTGTAGGCCATTATTAATTAAATTTCTTCGATAATTTTTCTGCAATGACAGTACAATTTTTATTTTAATTCTCTATCCTGAAAAATTAAAATCCACAATGGTTAAATTTTCAGTTAAGACAAAGAAGATCAAAGAGTGAGTTTCTAATCTGCCTACTTGAAAGGCAGATTTGAACATCAGTTATGGCTAAAGTGGTGAAGGAAATCGAACTGACTAGGCCTCAGGATGACACTAGGGAATTAGCTAGTTTGACTATTGACACTTTGTTCCAAAGCTCTCCGGCCTTATCTTGCTATTACAATGAGCAAAAAACGAGTGTGACTTTCCAAATCTAAAGAGTGCCTTATAAAACCAGATCGCATCTTCCCTCTTGAGTTGTCTTTCCAATTTCCACCCTGTTTTTGAAGACAACAATACTAAGAATTTGGGTGAGCACCTAACTAGCGGAATAAAGAAGATAGAAGACTCCGAAATATTCAAAGAATTCCCCTTTCTGGTTCAAAGACAGAATCTAGTTTTTCTTCATAATGGTACACACATTAGATGATCCACCCGACAACTGAAAACAGAATGCACAAATCATAACCTTCCCACCCACCAGCTGCCCTCTGGCTGTTAGACCTAATGTTTTACTTATTGTTGACTCCTACACATAATAATTTTCTCCCAATCCTAAAGTCAAGTTTTAAGGATCGGTTATCACAGATAAGCAGACATAATGAAATCTATTTCATAAAACTGCAAAGATATGAAGGGCATATCAGAAATTCAACTCACTGATTAAATAAATCCTCAGATTTGAAGAGATGTAAATAGAGTAGCAAACTCCTAAAGAAGGATAATTAAGTAGGAATTAGGAGGCACGGTAAAATGCATGTACACACTTTACAACTAGTATACACGTGTATTATCAGAATGTAAAGGACAAGCTGGTATCTGGGATGTGCCCTTCAGCCCACTCTGGAAAGCCATGTCTTGTGATTGTTCCTACACAACTGGTCATTCGACAGGGGGACATCAGGTATTGGGACCCAAAGCGGGCAGAAACAAAAAGTGACTTACAGAAACACCCAGAATATATGTGGATCAGAATTGAAAGCAACCCAACAGGTTGTTGGGTCTCTCTGTCCTCGGAGGAACTACATGCTTAGCACTTGTGAACAGGTAATATGGATTTGGACATCAGTAGCCTTCTGATTCGGATTAAGGGTAGACGTTCTTTCTCACCTTCCCCCCACCCAAGGGACGTCTAAGAGAGTGTTAGTCTCGCCTCTTTAAAAGTCTAGACAGGGGCCAGGGATTTAGCTCAGTGGTTTCGCCGCCTGTTGCACAAGCGCAAGGACCCGAGTTCGATCCTCGGTACAAAAAAAAAAATCGAGATGTCCCGAGTTCGAAGGGAAGGTGGAAGTGTCCCGTAAGTGCGGAGGCCTGTGAGCGTGAGCGGACTCACAAGGGTCGTTTATGTACATACACGTGCACGTATATGTACTTTACTCTCTTAAAAGTGTGATGATTGCAGACTTTGTAATCCTTTGAGAGAAGAGCTGAGATGTTGGACGTTTCAAAGCCCTGGGAAGCAAAGCGATCCAAACCGTCCCCGTGAGAGGGCAGCAGGGGGCCAGGCTGGGCCTGCATCTCCCGCGTCCGTGCGGCACCGGCGGGGCTGTCAGCCTGCGCTCTGCCCGGCCGTGGCGCGGGAGGCTGCACGCGCCTCTGGGGAGCCCCGGCAACCAGCAGGCAAGGCCCCCGCGGGGTGACCTTTCGGTGCCCGGCGGAGCGAAGCCAGCTTTCGGTTTGGGCTCCCGTAAAGGGAGCGGGGTGGAGCTGTCGCGGTCCCCGGTCCCGCAGAGCCCCCTCCCGGCGGAGCCCGGAGGGAGATGCGCGGGGAGCCCCGGCTCCATCGATGGCGCCAGGACGCTGTCGCTGTCACCTCGCCCTGTCGCCTCCTCGCTGATGATTTACGGGACAATTCCGGAGGGAGGAAAAAGGGCGCGGGCACTGGGGCTCTTTTCCTAGGGCGACCTTCTTGGAAGGGAGAAAGATGTTGGGACCAGCGGAGGATCGGGAAGGGGCGAATCCCCCGAGGGCCACATGCAGGGAGTTGGGACCTGCGTGCCGCTGTCCAGGCCGACAGCCCCTCCAAGGCCACAGCCGAGCCGACTGCGCGTCTGCTTCGTGACCCCCGACTTCCGCGCAGAAGGGGAAGCGCGCGGTTAAGCAGCGCGCGAAGCACCTAGGACAGTGCCTGGCGCCTGAGAGTCGCCGCGCGCTCTCCACCTCCGACCCCTCGGCCGCCTTCCCCCGCCACAGCCCGCCGCAGAGGTGAGGCGGAGCCCAGCCAGGACCCCTCCAGGCCTGCGGGGAGCGCGCCACACCCGGGTCCCGCGCGCTCAGGGGTGCACGGGCGAACGGGCGCAGGAGCGCTGGTGCCCACCTCCCCCGGGGGCTGCGGGGCGCTCGAGAGTTTTCCTACCTGCCCCGGGGTTTTGCCCTTCTTACTGCTGCCGAAAGCCAGTCCTTGGTAAGCGCCGGCAGATCGGTTGGCGGCCTGACCAGGCGTCTCTCCGCCCACAGAGGACTTGATGGAGTTGAGTTTGGCCCGCGAGCCGCCGAGCTGCGAGCTCTCCACCATCAGCACCGCGGCCAGGAGCAGGAGGCAGCGGGCCGGGTCCCTGCCCCGCATCCGCGCGGCCATCTCCCGGCGGGCGGGCGGGCGGAGAGGGCTCCGGGGAGGCGCGGAGCCCGGAGGGGTGCAGCGCGCGCGGGGCTCGCAGACGCCGTGCCCCGACCCCGCCTGCTCCGGGGACCCAGGACCCTGCGAACCACGCGGTCTCAGCCTGTGGCCGGGAGCGAGCGGTCCCTGGAGGCGGTCACAGCCCGGACCCCGTCCCCGCCAAGGAGGAGGCAGGGGCGGAGGCAGAGGCGCACCCGAGTGCAGCGCACCTCGGCGGCCGCGGCGGCCCGGGTCAGTCCTCCCCTGGACCCGTGCTCTCCTCCGGCCTCGGTGGCTGTTCTCTCCTCTTTCCCCGCACTTTGAGTCTCTAACTTGGTGGGACAGGACGCACGTCCTTCTTTTCCGGGTTAGCAGGGGCTCTCCCCGGAGATCCCGTCACCTCCAGACCGGGCAGGATCCGAGGCCAGCGCGGTCGCAGTCGCCCCTGCGCCGTCCAGCGTTCACCCGGGACCACGGCCACTGCCCGCGACCAGAGATGCCCGCGCCCACTGCGCTCCACGGGGCTGGCGCGCTCTGGCTGCTCCCCCGCCCTCTTGGCTTTTTATAGTTTTCCACAGTGGGTTTTCCTCCGCCCCCAATCCAAGAGTGACAAAGAGTGAAAACGCTGCGCTACCCCCTGCTCTCGCCCGCCTTCTCCTGTCGCTTCCCCTCCCCACCCTCCCGACCTCCTCCACCCCACAACTGGAGCAAACGTGGGCTTCCCAATGCCTGCCGCAGCTCCAGGGAGCAGATGGGCTTTGGAAACAGGCGGAGGGCACAGTTGGGCATGATGACCTGACCCCTCTCTGCAGCCCTACCGGCCACTCCGGCCACCCCCGACCGGGGGAAATAGAAGCCAGGCACCTGTGCGAGCCCCGGTGCGACTGTGGCCTTCACCTCCCAGCCGTGGGCGGCTGGGCCCATAGGTGTCCGAGGTGCCCAGCGGACCCCGAGGGAGATGGGGGAGCAGCGCGGGGGGGAAAGATGGGCACATTCTCGCTCCCCGGAGCACCGGGTCTTTGTAGTCTCCTCTTCTGCGTCCCCAGCTCTGCCACGCGCGAAGTGTACGCCTGTGTCTGCCAGACTGGGAAGGAGGAACCGGCTGCCCCGCCCTGGGTACCTCGGAGGTTTGGAGCGCACTGCTCCTCTGGACTCCTCTCCGCGCCAGACAGCTGCCCTCTGCAGGAGGAAACCCCGGGCAGGCCTGAGTGGGTTAGGAGGTGAGCGCGCAGGGCCCTTCCAGGTCCTGCCGTCCTGGGCGCCCTTCCGGCTGGCCCTGGGAACTCCAAAGGAAGCCGTTCCTGATCCCTGCGGTCCCTTCGCGTCCTCCGAGGCGCGGAGCGGCGCGCAGCGCTTGGGGCCGCTGGTGGCACCGACGCCTCGCAGACGCCCGCGGGGGCGCAGCGCAGCTGTGCGGCCCTTCCAGAGAGAGGCAGGGGGTTGTTCAGGAGGTGTTGCCTTTCTGCTTCGCAGGCACAGGAAATCCAGGCACCGACCCACCACCCGGCGTTACACAGTGACAGCTTGCGGCGAGGAGCTGGCTCCAGCCCTGGAGCCTTTTCCCATCCCGGTCACAGCCGCATGCCCAGGAGCGCGAAAGGACAAGGTGAGGGACTCCCTTACTTCCCACCAACACCACCAAGATCTGCAGAGCGGACTTAGAGTTCGTCCCTGCCTTATGCCCGGGCCTCAGCCCTGACCCGGAAGATGGCCCTGCCCAGAAGTCTCCCTTCCGAAAGCTGTGGCCTTTTCTAATACACCGCCAAGCGGGGATTCAAAAGCCAGGAGCCCTCGGTGAGCTTTCTTATCTTTGGATTTCCTCAGGGTAGGGATCGGCACATTTTAATGGTTGTTTTCACTTTTTAAATGTCCGGGAATACCAAACCAGAATGACTGTTGAGCACATCCTGCTAAGTGAAACAAAACAATACTTCATGGTCCCCTTTGGCTGAGATACCTCAAATACTAAAATTCAAAGAATCAGAGCTTCGAATTGTGGCTACCAAGAGCTCTATCAACAGGTATAAAGTTTTATTTCAGCAAGACAAATGGGCTCTAGATGTCTGCTGCATGATGTAGTATCTATAATAAGCAATAATGTATCTATAATAAACAATAATATTTTAAAATTGTTAATGGGGTAGATCATATGTACACACACACACACACACACACACACACACACATGTATATGCCCAGAAATGAATTCATAAGTTTGTAAGGATCAGCAAGACATTTCAAGCACTAATGGAAGGCAAGGACATGGATCCATATTCTACATTTAAGTACTTGTGATTTAGCACTTAGAAGGGTTTTCTCTTTCACCTTAGTTCTGATTAGCCAACCAGGAAATGGATCAGAATTGGAGAAAATTGAGTTAGGAACCTATTGGCTCAGATAGTTCTGAGAATTTTTCAGAGCAAAAGAAAATGTGGATTATAGCTAAAGATGCAGACAGCAAATCTCACTGTGTTCACTGGAAACGGGCACTCTGACTACATGGAAGGAAAAACTGGAACGAACAAAAAGTTTGAAGCCGATTTGTGTTTCCCGCTTGCTTTCCTCCTCTCCCCAGACAGCACAACATGCCCCAAACGCAAGACTGACTTCTCATATAGCACCATTGTCTCACACACAGCAGCCCTCAGCTCCGAAAGCAGGGGTGCACCAACACAATCAAATCAGCTCACATGGGAATGTACCTGCACAAGTCTCCCACAGAACACAAAATCACATATGGAATCCGACACTGAAATGCGCACAACTGTTCTTTAGACTGAAAGGAAGCAAGAACTCAACTTCATTCGCAGCCCGAGTGCTTTCTGTAAAAGCGTCCGACCGACAGGCAAGACACACATAGCCCACTTAGACAAGTGCACAACTAGCTGCAAATAAACATCCTAGCACTCATATGCCTCTTCCTTGAGAGTTTTCCTAAGTATGAAGACACAAGCTTTATGTTTTAGTTGGCAAAATAGTTTCATGTCATTTGCAATAACATAATTAGAGAGTAAACACATAAAAACAAGACTGTACGGAAGTAAGCTCAAGGCCTTTTGTGCAAAAGAAGATGCCTTGAGAGTCATGGCTTCCGGCTGTATATTCTCTCTTCTCTGTTTCAGAAACCATGGAATCCTTTCAGTGCATGGAAAAAGCTATAACTTAGTCAGTGGTTGTTCCGGAAATCAGGTTTCCTGCTGAACACTGAACCCCAAAGGTAGGTTAAATGTGCAGGTCACCATTCTGTTCTCCTGTGCTGTGCCTTGCTGGGTTTCCTCCTGTTTCCTCTTGTCATCTCTCCCTGCATTCGTATATTCTGCAGTTGTTCAAGCTTTCACTGCACATCTGTGAAGTGTGGGGCCTGAAGAGCCCAGAGGAGAGTGGACGGGGCCTTGGTGCCCATGAGCTCACAGTCCTGTCCAGGCAGTGGCTCGCTGGCCTTGGCATCTCGTCCCTCACATGAGTTGCTATCCTGACGGGTCGCCTGTTGTCACCCACAGCTAACTTTGGCCAGTCTCAGAGCTTGGTCTCTGCTAGGACATCTGCAGCTTCTGAGCTGGCTTGAATTCATGTGATAAAGGAGATATAGATTAGATAAATAAGAAAGATTAAAGGCTGGGGGTGGCGGTGCAGGTCTTTAATCACAGTGTTCTGGAAAGCCGGAGCTGGAGGATTACAATCAATCCCCGTCTGGGCACTTTATAAGGCCCTGTCTCAAAGTTTAAAAAAATAAATAAAAGGATAAAAATGGCCTGAGTCTGTAGTTCAGTGCAAAGGCTATTGGTTCAATACCTAGGACTGCAAAACAATACAAAAAATTTAAATAAATTTTAAAATTTAAAGATATCCCTGAGACTTTCCTTTCCTCAAAATTTACACGTACATTTTAATATTGTGCATAGAGATGATACTTCTTCTCTGTATAAGGTTGAACCCAAATGAATGACCCTGGTGACAGTCCCATTAGGTCAGTAAGAACAATTTACGGAGGGAGATTACATTTGGATCAGTCCAGTGCACACACAGACTGGACAGGAAAGACCTTCAGGCTGTGGGTGGATGTTTATGATTGCTAAGGATCTGGAAGAGAAACCGAACTACCCAGCCCTATATTCTGATAGTGCTCAGCCTCTGGGTCTTATCACATAGAAGTGTTATGCTTCTCATCCTACCTGAAGAATAATATCTAATGTTGCTGCCTATCACATTTTAAATAATTTGTAATAGATGTAATAGCACTGGTATCTTGAAAACCTTTTGAGTTTCTTGAATGGGAATAAACTCCATACCGAATATGAAAAGCTACATCTCATATTTGAGTTTTTGCCTTAGTTCCCGTGGTTAACCATATCCACCCCTGGTCTCAGGGCCAACAGGACCAGCTCCTGAGAAGACTTCATCATTTGCACTGAGTCGCTAGTTGTGCTTGACCCAACCCGCATAAGTGAAAAGGCCTGGGGATTCCTCGTCTATCAGAAGCATAACCCTTGCTCAGACAATGGCTTTGTTTTTCTACCTTGACAAATCAGTTGTCATTTCAGCATTTTACCTGACATCCAAATGAAAGAGAATTACTGGACAGATATTTCCTCTAGAGCCTGAACACAGCCAGTAAAAAGTGGAAATAACATAATCTGAAACTGAGTTGGCTACACTGCATGGCTACAGATTTTTGTGCATACAAGTGACAGTACATGGGGTCGGAATTAGAAACAATCTCCAAATATTCAGTGCCAATGCTTTCCCTTATGACACACGATTTCTGTTGGTTCTTCACATTGTATGTCCTTCTTGGTGACCCATTTCTTCTCACTGTTGAGTTCCTGCAGGCTATTTCAAGATTTGTCTTTGGAAACTGAAACAACGAACCAAACAACACCTGAATGTGTCAGGGGGATGTGTTTAATTCTTGAGTTAAGTTAAGTTCCAAAAAGAACTCATCTTGATGAGCAACAAAACAAATGACTTTTACGTAATCTGGACTCAAGTTTTCTAGACTCTGCTCCTGAGAGCTCCCAGGGCTCTGGAGAGATCACGCAGGAAGGCTAAGAGCTGTCTTCTTTTTGATAAGAATACACAGTAGAAGAATCCAGCAACATTCAATATTAAATTCCTATCTTTGTCATTCCTTTTATTGGGGGGAGGACTGTGTTTGTTGGCTTGTTGGTTTTAATCAACTGTTAATTGCCCCGATTTGGAACCCACACTGATTCAGGTAAAATGCTCTGACTGCTCAACCTGCCTGCAGCAGGATGGGTTGATTTCCACTGTTATTACCACAGATATTGCCAAAACAAACATTACTCAAATGGGGAAACTATGCACAGTCTGGAGATTTATTTAGTCAGAAATGATTTGGTCATTTGAAGTAGGGAA